AAGAAGAAGAAGAAGAAAGAAGGCGAAGGCGAAGACGAAGACGACAAGCAGAACTGGAAGTGAAAAAAGGGGACTTCCTTCGTCTTCCTCTGCAGCTTGCGACCAGGCTTGCCGCTTGGGCGACGACCGCAGCACCAACTCCGCCGCCCGCCTCCTTCCAAGGTTCACCAACTAACTAACTCGTTAGTGAGTTTGCCTGTTAGGCTCAAATTTTCCCGGAGGCGGACAGCTGGCGCAAGACAACTTCACGAGAACAACAGTCGGTCACCTTGCCGTTGCCAGCAGGGAACATCGACTCGCGCCCGCTACGACCCAGACCGAGCCCGAGACGCGCCTGTTATCGCTGAGCGGCGCCATCTTTGCGGCATCCTGAGTGTGCTATCGAGCGGCTTATCAGGCGGACTTTGGCCAGATAACGTTAACTACCGGCGGAGCTTGGGAGTTCGTCCATCACCAGCTTCGAAGATCGGATAGCAGGAAAAAGGACCGCTCGTTGCGATGCCAAACCAATACAAGATTCCCGCGACGCCGCGTGTGATCTCACCGTCGCCGACGCCTTCGGACCTTTCAGAGTCGAGAGAGCACATCTCAGATAAAGGGCCGCTCGCGTCTCCTCCGCCTATCCCGGAAGAAGATCCAGTTGCCGACGATGCATCCGGCTCAGATTCTAGCTTGAACAAACGATCTCGAACCCGATCCCGAAGTCCGATGGTGCTCTCGTCTTCTGTACAGCGCAGGCGCAAATCCAACTCTGGAACTGGCGAGAAGGCTGCGTTGGTAGCAAACGGACACACGTCGGCAAATGGCCATCTCTCACCATACTCGAGCGCCCAGGAAAACTGGCGTGTTATTTCACGGTCTCCCTCTCCCCTCGGCCTGATTCCCCTCCATTCTCATTATAGAACCTTCATCCATCGCCATGAGATTCCGCGGAAGCTGCTACATGTTTCCATCGGCTTTGTTGCCCTCGATTTCTTCCGCAGGGGGGTACAAGCAAACCAGTTAACACCCTGGTTGTTCTCTGCCTTCATTCCTATTTCAGCAACGGACTTCCTACGCCACCGATTCCCGGCCGTCAATAGGTTCTATATCCGCTGTCTTGGGGCTCTGATGCGCGAGACCGAAGTGTCGGGCTTCAACGGCGTGATTTGGTACATCTTGGGCGTCGTTATAGTCCTCCACTTCCTCCCCAAGGATGTTGCCATGGTGTCTGTCCTACTACTTAGCTGGTGTGACACAGCCGCTTCGACGTTTGGTCGCCTCTACGGTCGCTATACGCCACGTCTTCGACGTGGAAAGAGCTTGGCTGGAACGCTTGCTGCCTGGGTTGTCGGCGTGATGACTGCCGTCGCTTTTTGGGGATATATTGTTCCCGCAGTAGGATCATTCCCTAACGATCCGGAAGACGCCAACATGTTTTCTGGCTCTATCAGGCTTCTGCCCTCTGCTGCAACCAAGCTTTTGGAGTGGATCGGCCTCCCAACTCCCACCTCTGATAGCTCCATCGTCTCTGGCCCACTTGCTCTCGGAATTGTTAGCTTGTGGACTGGCGTCGTGGGCGCTGGAAGTGAGTTGATCGACCTTTTTGGCTTCGATGATAACCTGACCATCCCACTTCTGAGCGGAATTGGCCTGTGGGGTTTCTTCAAGGTCTTTGGTGCCTAAATTTCTTCCTAATTTTTTATGTTTTGTGATATTTGGCATTTACTTATCTATTCCTTCTCTGCTCTCCCCCACTGCCGCTCATTATTTCATCGCATTACACTTTACCTCATCACTACTCCACCTGCCGTGATTCATTCAATGTCAATTCTTCCTCCCCTCCCTGATACATATTCCAAAGAAGCCGTTTCTACACCTCTTTCCTGGCTGTACTATATTCGTCCAATTCCCTTTGCCTTGAAGTAACTGCCCATTTGCATCCCGCGTGCCCCATTTCACATTTCTCTCTCCTCCATTTCCCTTGACGATCATCTAAATCTGCAAAACAATGCTCAGTGTTTATTTACCCTACATTTAGCCTCCTCACGCCTTTTAAACTACCCAATACCCCATTTTCTTCTACCTCACCCTTCCTTTTTGTAATGATTAATGTTTCACTTTCCAAGGTTGACTTTTACGTTAATATCTGGAGCCGGATTTCCTTTTATTGGTTCGCGAAGAGGATAATAGAATTTATTCGGATTATAGATTGCTTTGCATGCACTCTAAATATTTACGGTAGATTAGTAGCTTTACATTATTCAATAAATCCAATGTGTGAATATAGTAACTGGACCTAGCCTACACCAGCAGAGCTGTTTTCATCGTCCTATGCCCCGTCCACGTTGAAACAGGCAAATCCAATTGTGATATATAGTCATCCAAGATTATTATCCCCTAGGCAGTCGGCATTCCACCTGGTCGGAATATTCAAAAAGCATAGTAATTCCAATCAAGTAAGATCAACTATACTAACGTACCCTAGGCATATTAGCCTGCCTGATAAGCAATTCAAACTCGAGTTCTTCTCAGAGCTTAGCAGACAGGGACAATCTGTAGTTGCACCCTGGACCTGAGTCCAAAATCCATTGTCAATTTTAACATGCAAAGCAGGAGGACGATGCTCGCTGGATATCATCTTGGGCTTGAAAGCATCCATAATACCTTCTGGTGCAGGTGGTCCATTGTCTCTATATAATACATGACGATCTGTTTTCTGATGTCGCGTCCGGGTATCACTTGGAGGGTTCATATTGTAAATGTTATCCAATTCGATTGATAATTGATTCAAGGACGGGAACTCCTGAGTAGCAGAGTACGACGGATGTGGTGAGGGGCTTTTCGTAATGGCTTTCTTCTCCTTGGGTAGTTTTGCCTCATTAGGCTGCACAGGAGGGACCAGAATTTGTTCCTTGCATTTCGGAATTTTTTGCTCTTGAGAGGGGGCACAGACTATGTCTGGTCGAGTGCTTCCTGCGAGCATCCTTTCTGAAATATGTACATGGCTAAGAGCCAAGTCTATCTCGTGAACGTATCTGGTAATGCAATCTTGTAAATTAGGACCAAGCAGGATTCGCATGTGTCGGGAGGGAGTATGGATATTGTTTCCTACCTTTTTTATCTTGCGTATGATCTAAACCCACCGGGTCATCCAACGGGTCACTGAATGTTAGATCGAGAAATTCAGAGGAAGCAGGGAGGTCTGTATTTTTTCCAGACGAAATTGGAGGCGTTTGTGTCCCCGCCATGTCGCTATATGAAAGGCTGTGGCTGCTAGAAGGAGGCAACTCCTTGGCCAATGAAGACGTGGCATTCCGTTGTACAACAGGTCCTTTGGTTATAGTTCCATACCGGAGAATAGAACCAGCTTTCATTCCCGGGTCAACCACTTTGGGTTTTTTCTTCCGTGTCTCAGACTTCTTCACCGGCCGTTTTTTAGCAGCCTCCTTCTTCTTGCACTCCGCAAACCAATCATCCACGGTATCTGGGATACCTCGACGTACTATGGCTTCAAACAACCATGCTTTCTGGGAAGCAGACGGGTCATACTCAGCCAGAGTACTTTTCCTGACCATAGCGTGACTTTCCTTTGGTGTATCATCATTATCGGAAGAGTCAATGTTCATAACCTCCTCTTCTTGTGGGCTAGTAGTGGTAGTTTCCTGGTCCAGGTCAACATTGACAATTTGGAGGGGCACATATTCTAGTTTCAACACTGGTAATGCATCAAAGGAATCGGCCGACTTGTAACCCAATATTTTAAGTGGCAGCTTGTCCTTTGGTGTTCCAAGAGAGCTATAAAATAAATTATAGCTTAGCAAAGAGGGCGCAAGTTTTCTTATCAAGTTCTTGGCCCCTATTGCATTTTTCCACCCCAAGTATCTGCCAACAAATGCGCGAAGCCGGTCAACATCGATTCTTCTGCCCCATATGTCTGATCGGCGAAGTGCATTCATCTCCTTGAGGGACGAGGTGACCGGATGAACACAACTTCGTAAAGCTGCCAAATTCGGAAAGTCGGCAGGTATCTTAACGGCTTTATGTTTAGTTTTAAAATACCCGCTTTCATTACTCTGGAGTTCATATTGAAGGCGTTCCCGCCATTCACACAATGCCTCTTCGGCTTTCTTGGTTGATCGCCCAGATAGTAGGTCCTGAGTTATTTCAAGAAGATCTTCGCCAAAACCAGCTCTAGCGATCTCAACTGCTAGTTTTGGACCGCAGAGAGCTACACCAGCAGGCGAATAATCTCCACCACTCAGTAATGCAACTAAAATCATGCCCCTGGTATCCAGTGTGACCTTGCTATCTCCATCTTCCGCCTCGGTATTGTACAAATCAACATGGGTTGCAGCTCCTGACTGCTTGGCCGAGCCCTTGGAATAATTGAGAAGGGTAACCTTGGAGCCGAACATGAGGGCATCAACATCGTTACTCATAACGGCATCAACAACACCTGCCTGCTGCAGTTTTGCACATTCTGCCTCGGCTTCCCCCGGGGCCATATGGCACGGATACGAAAATAGTTCAATTAGCTTCCTTGAAAGCTCTATTTGTGCGGCGGCGGCATTCTTGCTGACCAGCCGGCCTCTTTTGTAATCCGGTCTATGTGGCCCATCGAAAACAAAGATTGGTTGGATTGGCAGAGAAATCAGCCTCGTTAGTCGGAAGAAGAGGGTCCTAAGGGCGGGATTTGCCCCTCCTTGTGCTGCCTGGACTTGAAAAAGCCATATGGAAATATCAACAGCTAAGCGTAATGGCTTTCTCGTGCGTTGCAGATGGCCGACTGAGTATCTGGCCAAGGAGATACGCTCCCCAGGACCGAGCTCATCTTTCAGACTATTAAATATGCATCAGCAATCTTCGTCCTTTGCAGGATAATAGGTATTGTTCTTTACCCAGGAATCCCCATTCATGAGTTAACACGCAGACGTGGACGTTCCAGTAACGATCGAAGGAAGACGGATCTCGATAGATGGTCCACTAAACGCAACTATGAGGATTTCATGACATCAGAGAATCCAAAAAAACAAAACAAAAAACGGAGAAAGGGGCCCTGCTGCTCATGGTACCAAAGCGTTGTTTACTTGGGCTGCGGAAGCTGAGAGAACGGACGGACAGGTAAACACGGAATGTCTTGGCGGCGGACCAAAAATAGACTTTCATCTCGAGGAGCCTCAACTTCTTCTTATCAAGTTTGTGACAGTCAATTCTCCAGCGCAGCAGCGTGGAATACTCTGGCTGAAGAGGTCATCGTCTATTTTTGCTAGCTAAACAGTTATCTGTATGATGATTAAACGCGAGAAAACACCTTATTCCTGATAATTCGTTGTTCTTTGACCAATTAGCCAGGGAAAGACACTCCTTCGACCACCACACGGTGAAGAAGCTCGAGGATGGCCGCAGCCCCGTCGTCTACAATCGATTCGGAAAGGAGACAGTCTCTATCGAGCGCCAGTATACGAGGAAACCTTCGTCAGGCTCGCGGCTCCATTGTCTCCATCCCTGGGTCTCCTCATACGCCACAGCAACAGCGCCCAATACTATCTCCGTATACAGGGACTTCCTCCCCCGGCTCCTCGTTTCGTCAGGAGGAAGATGCAGTGATACTAGAAATTGGGTCAAGATGGCTTCGTGCGGGGTTTGAAGGGAACAGTATGCCTACCTGCGTAACTGGGTTCGGAACTGAAGAAGGGAGAAGGGTTGGTGATTATCGAGGCTGGATTAGGAACAACAGCAGCACTGTGAGAAAACGACTTACCTATGACGTTGAAACATGGTCGAAGAATTATGAGCTTTGGACCTCAGATCTTCGGGGGTTTGATATCCAACTCTTTGAGGATAGGATCGAGCGTGCTATTCGAGAGGTCTATAACAAATACTTACTCACCGATGCTGGTTCTTCAAGACTAGTGCTTGTTATACCCTCTATTGTCCCTCACCCACTGCTGGCATCGCTTCTCTCAACTATATTCCACCGCTGGAAGTACCCCAGTATCACTTTATTGCCAACTGCGGCGATGGCGACTGTATCCGCCGGTTTACGATCATCTCTTGTTGTAGATATTGGATGGGAGGAAACTGTTGTCACTGCCGTTTACGAATATCGAGAAATCCGGTCAAAACGAAGCACCCGCGCCATGAAGATGATGATGCATGAAATGGGGAAGATGCTTAGCAGCGTTATCTATGAGATAGAAGGATCTAGCCTTGGTGGGAAGGAAAGCTCAGTATGTATTCCATTTGAACTTTGTGAGGAAATTTTGGTGCGCATGGCCTGGTGCGAAAAGAGCTCTCAGAATTCTGAAGATTCGGAATTTATGAGTGCGCACTCCGCTCCCTCGACAGTTTCAGAAGGCGGTAATAGAGACACCTACTCTCGCTCGTTGGATTCGAAAGTTTCAGTCCCCTTACCGATTGGATCAGACTCAAAATATACAGAAGTACCCTTTTCGCGGTTTTCACAACCCACTGAAACTACTTTATTCGGTGGGCCATATGAAAACCGAGACTGGGATGACGAAGACATGCCCTTGGATATCCTGATATATTATTTCCTCCTCTCGCTTCCACCTGACCTTCGAGGAACCTGTATGTCACGGATAGTATTTACAGGTGGCGGTGCGAACATTCCAGGGGTACGACAACGCATATTAGATGATGTCAATGCCCTGGTTGAAAAGAACCAATGGTCTGTATCTAGGGGGAAATCCATAAACAAGAGGAAGAGCCGTTTATATGAACAGAACGGTAACGGGAATTCGACGCCATCAAATACGGACGAGTCGAACTCTGCCTTCCGGGAGCCACCCGAGCTAGAATCAAATTTTATCGATGAGAAAATGGACTTAAAGCGAAAGGACGATAGATATGTTCACGGAGTGCTTCGCCAGGTCGAATCGATGGGCCCATGGGCTGGGGCTAGCCTACTTGCCAGCCTCAAAATCAGGGGTATGGTGGAAATTGAACGTGAGAAATATCTCCAGCATGGTCTGGCGGGTGCTAGCCGTGATTATGAACTGAACCCCCCTGATCGGAGATCTGGCCATGGACAAGGAGCTGTTCGAGCAGGTGGAGACAGATCCAGTTGGACTCTCGGTGAATGGAGATGATAGTATTTGTTTGCTTGCACATGAGCTGTCATGTCTTTCGCCTTGTTTTGCGTGTTATAAGATACCCTTAGAATACATTTTACTTGCCTTTCCTTCAAGTTATTCTTGCATTAGCATATTATGGGCTGGACGGATACAGGTGTGTATATCCTCTGCGAGCGGAAAAGCTGATACCTTGATACCTTTACTTTGATACCTCTCTGGGGCCGATAAACATATGCAAAGACAAAGGCCAGTCCTTCATCACTGAGCTACTAGGCCTCTACTCTAGGCACTAGCTAGGGAGACAACATAGAGCAGCAGTTATATTCCTACTACTTCCTTTGGGGACAATACAATCACCCTTGTCTCTCCATATCCAGTCACATACTCTATTGGGCCCTTGTCAGAAACAGAGTGACAGGACACTGTCACAGTCACTTGGTATTTCTATCACTTTGCCCTGGTGTCCTGCTCACTTTGATATCAATTCTGTGTTCCTCAAGTTGAAGTTGCTGGAAACTTCCTTCTTCGACAACTCTGGTAGCTCTTTATTGCAAAACGCGAGTGGTCTCTTCTTCTTCTTCTTTTCACCCACCTCTCTCAACCACCACCATCATCCACAGTCTTCTTCATCCTATCTCACCCCAAGCCGCAACCAGCCAGAGAGAAGCACGCTTAAGTCGCCGAAGCCATGGAGACGCCACAGCCCCGTCAGCCGGAAGAGCTGCGCCGAAAGATCTCGACAAGCTCGCTTCTTAGGATCCCAACCACCGATGAAGAAGCCCCCATCTCAGTGCATTTCACCTCCGACGATAGCTCGAAGCCCTGTATTACAACTCCTCCGCCTCGTGGCCGCGAAGGATCCCACTCGCCAACTCCATCTAACGCCCCGCCTTCTCCCCGAGACGAGCTTCCAAAGGATTTCGTTGCTCTTGATGGCCTCTTGAACTATCACCTCAGCCAGCTGGATCGTATAAAGAATGAAATCAAAGAGCACAACACTACCCTTGACCAGCTGAGCTATACGCTAGCCAACATGTCTACACGTCCAGAGGTTCAATGTGCTGCTATGTACATGAACTGGCGTCTTCAGGGGGTTAGAAACGCGAGAAACCTCCTGGCAAAGTTTGTTGCCTTTCACCTGCAGGAGATTGACCGTATCTCTGCTTTAAAGCTGGAGATGGGTGGGAATGATGTTCTTGAGATGTAAGTTATTATATTCTTTCCCTAAATCTCTCTTTTCCTCTCTCCAGGCGCGTAGACTACTATAATGCAATGACTCTTAATCATAACTTGTGCATATCTAACTGACTCCTCTATAGCTGCCGAAACCTCCCTTCCTCGCGTGAATGGAATGATATGTTCTCTTATTAAACTAATACTCACCGGGCGTCACCACATTGTATTCTCTTTGTGTCTAAAAATAGTACTTGATGCAGAAGACGAGGAATAATTTGCATATATTGTTCTTGTGGGGGACTACTTTGCCTTCCTTTGTCACTGCTCTGGTGGCCTTAATAGCTTCTATCAGTCTACACCAATATTGAAGCAAGCCTTTCCTAAATATGAACTCTTAAATGGTCATATGAACTAGTATTACTGTGTGCTGTACGTTGTAATAGAATTATTTAAAAACAAACAAATAAAAACGAAAAAACCTGGTTGCATTTACATCCACAACCCCCCATGCCCCTGCAGCGAAGCCAATGCTTTCCAGGCAAAAGCTCAGGAAGCACTAAACACATACGTTGCCCAGTTTATCGCAGGACCTGACTCGGGAGAGTATATTTGGAACGGATCCTGACCCCAGTCAGGGTTATTGATGCCATCAATCCACCCCTCGGTTTCAATGACAAGGCAACCATACTGTTCTATCTTATCCACAACAGTACCGTTTCCATCCCCGCTAGCCTTATTCCTTGCCACTTGTGAGCTTTTCACCGGGATCGTGCCATTCTGACCATTGCAGGAGTATATTTGAATCGCCTGCTGATTTGTTGTGACCAGCATATTTATACCCGTAGTGACCGAGGACATATTCACAGCAGGGACCATTGTTTGGGGGGAAGAAGTCCAGTCAGACGCATTATTGGGCCTATCAATAATGAAGCAGTTATCGTACCCAGTACAATTTGCTCCACAGATTCCATCTGCGGACTTGATATCTTTCCCGATCAACTTCCCCTTTGTGAAGTCTAGGGTACCATTGAGGGAAGAAGAAACATTTCCTATGTTTCCGGTTGGGATAAGCCGCGAGTCCACCTCCACGTATCGACGAGATAGTGGTAGTTGAAGTAGCGTGTCCTCTAGCACGGTCTCATTCTTGAAAGCGTTGAGATTCCAGTATATATGAGGTGACAACATTATGGGCGTCTTTTTTGTCAAAGAAAGAGAAATGGTTCGGGCAGTGAACTCTGCTTGTGGATTGGGCCTTTTCAAGCCATATGAGGAATTAACACTGAACGTGACATGATTTATGACATCACCCGGGAAGTGTTCATAGCCGGAATCGAACAAGGTGAAGGTTATGGAGTTATCCGACAGAGCCGTAACAGTCCAGTTACGCTGGTCATAACCAACACTCCCACCGTGTAATGTCTGAGTTTTATTCAGCTCGTTTTTTGGTGTATTGTATGTAGTTCCATCTAGAACAAATGTACCATTTCTAATCCTGTTGGCATATCGTCCGACAATGCACCCAAAGTACGTATGGTTAGTGAGTGTGTCTTTGACATAGTCCTGGGGGTCATCGTAGCCAACAATAACATCCTGCATCTTACCCTCACGATCGGGGACCATGAGAGAGATTAGACGGGCACCGTATGGAATGAACGATGCAGTAATGTTATTTGCAGCAATGGTGTATACTTGGAGTGGATTCGACGACGCTCCATTGGCTAGGGGGCAACTAGATGAGCCATTCATAGGCGTCCCATTTGAAGGTGTAGTGCCGTTTAATTGGTGATGAAAGTTCCATGCTGAGCAGCTGGGTGTTATGCTGAGGAAGGCTAGCGGCAGAAGCATGAGTTGGCGAAGGACACCGCACATGGTAAAGGATGTATGTGATAATACAGGTGATAACTAATGAAGTGTGCACATAAAGGGGAAACGGACGTAGAGTGTGGAGTGTGGAGTGCCACAAAACAGGGGACGATCCGGATGCTATGAAGGCTCACTGAAGAGGTTTATATACCCCTTCCTTCCAACTATTTTAGGTAATATTGATGGCAAAAGCAATGACGATGTGAGGGAGAAGACGTTGCATGTACCGTTGCAAGCATAAAAAGCCAACCACTGCCACCAGCTGCGCGGATGGAACACTGGAAAGGCAAACTGTGAGTTCTTATTTGATGGAGTGTGGTCTCCCCCGCATTATGTAGCATGGACGGGGATCGATGTTTGTTTCTTCGAGGAGGCGAAAGATACGAGCCGTTGTGGCTTGAGCTTCCATAGCTCATCTCTCCAAACATTTTCCGTAGGACCCTACTTCCTTCGGACATAATAGCACGGCGGAAACTGTTTCATTGCCTGGCGAAGCCATCTATGGAATGTATTTATGGCTATGACGCAACCCTTTGCAAAATCCCTCCTTCGTCAGTGTGACATACCTGGGTACTGCATGGTCCTCGTAGTATCGAGTCGTTTCCTGTTCCAAGGCTCTCCTTGTGGCTACATTAGCACGAATACACAGCCTCTGGCCAAAGAATCTTTCAACAGTACAGCTTTAGCAGTCCTTGGTCTCTTTCTTGTCATTGCTTTCAATAATCTCGTTGTTGATATAAACAGAAAAGATGATGATGACATAATACAAACAAGCAAAGGATCGACATCACTACCTGCCATATTGGGCTAGAACCTGAGCGCCCGAGCCCGCGATTCGGCAAGATAGTTTTTCCGAGCCAGATAAACAGACTTCCCCTTTGGGCTAGTGTAATGATGACTAATAATGTCAAGCAACACGGCCTGTTGGACAATTTGGAGATTTGGAAGCTCGAGGACGAAGGCGAAGGCGAAGACGAGGACGAAGACGAGGGAAGACAGACGAGTTAGTATGCCAGCAGCCTGGTATATTGAGACTGCTCTTCTGACCCTTCAGCGAAATACATAAGATACGGAAAAAGCTACAAATAGCTCGGTTGTTTTTCGGGTTCTTTCGAGGTCAAAGCATGAATCTTTGTTTACCGAAGCGCTGCGATACACCACCTTGCGACAGGGCGCATGACGGCGCCGGGATAGACAGACACAAACAGGAGCGTCGATGATGGCCTCTCGCAGCAGCACCTCCTCTCCAGATCCCTTGGGATACCCAGGCGACCCGGAATATCTCCTCTCGTCCGCCAAAAAGCCGTTCTCTCAACGAATCATGTCACCGCAAAAGCGCGGAACCCCACGACGTGGACGACCACCACTACATCAAAAGAGCTACCAGTCTCCAACGAAAAGTGTGAAGAAAAACGGCCAAACGATACGATTAGAAGATATTATACTGCCTTCCACGCCATCGGGAAATTCGAGAGCGACGCGTTTCGACCGGAGATCGCTGTCCCCAACCAAGGCTATCCTGCAGTCAGACGGTAACATTAGTCCATGGCGCATACGAGTCACTGTTGAGGCTGAACAAGAAGACGAAGAAGACGGGGGGCAGGCCATGAAGCAAAAGCGACTCGGGCCATGGGTTGACGGTAAGACAGTGAAGGTACCATTGAAGGGGACTTCTTCGACGGAACCAACACCGAAGAGGCGCCGGCGACGAAAGAGCAGGACTGACATCACAGAAAGACCTCCTACACCGGGGCCTAAAAAGGGCGATATGCCTACAGAAGCAGCCTCGGCGACAATTGAGAAGGGACAAATGACTGGGGTTCAAGAGAACACAGAGGCGGTAGAGGATGTTATATCCAGCGTGGAGGATAATGCTCTTCCACAGGATTTGGACGAACCGACTCAGGGTTTTGGAGATGTTTTTTTGGATCTGGCGGCAGATGGAGATACAGATGATGGTGATGATGGCGGCGGTGATGCTTTGATGGGTGATCACGTTGAAATGAACGCTGGGCCACGGCAGCCTTCAACAAACGAAACTGGGATCACACCATTAGACAGAAGGAAAGATCTAATGTCGCTGGAAAATTCCAAGGTTTCCTCTATTCGGACAGCTCTATCTCCTATCAACGTTACGAACGCTGGTCGTACGCCCCGGCCGAAGCGAATATATCCAACTCCAACCTCATCTTCTTTGATAGACGAAACGCTGGAAAAGCCCGCCAACCATGTCGCTGAGACAGATCCAACAGACGAGCATCGCGAGTTTGACTCAATCATGGAAAGCGAGGGATTCAGCATGGTCTCGCTCAATACTTTACCCTCAGCCAGACAGCGACTGCGCCAAATAGTTGAAAACCAGGCCAGCCGTACTAAGACACCAAAATCCCATGCAACACCCCGGGCATTGCAGCAAATTTCCCCGAAACCCACCTCAACGACTGCATTATCGCCTAACATTTCCGCTACCCAGTCATCTTCTAAACGTCCACATAGCCAATTATACGAAGCTATCTCGTCTCTCCAACAATCATCCCCCAGAGATATGACCTCAAGACTTCATCGCACACCACGGCTCAACAACCCTCGTTCCGTAACTCGACCTCCCCCTGCCCCTGCTGCACCACCTGAAATTATACCCCCCAAAAGGCGGCCCTTGGCTCGATTATGTCGCGTAATACGGGCTGGAATTGCTCTCCATGGCCTCCTGGATCGCAGGCGACAAAGTAGTAACCTCCAAACCCCGTTTTCAAGCCCTAACACGGACTCTGCCGACGATATGGCGGCTACACGGCGGAGACTGGACCATCTATTCCAAGATTTCAATATGGAGACACGGCGAGAACTGCGCGCAGGGGTCAGATTTGGAGAAGAGCTTGTAAAAAGACTTCGTCAGCCAAACGGAAAGCGGCGAGAGCTATCCGTAACGCGGGAAAGCACAAGGCTACAAGAGATAACATCTATGCGGCCAAGCCAGAACGTGGTTTACCCGGAGTTAGGAGGCGCATCTCAGGGATTCCAGCCAGCGACAGTACCTGCCCCTGAAAATCGGGAAGAAGAGATTAAGGATGATCCACGCCAGGAGCCTTATCCAGCAGAGGAAAATCCCGAAGATACTTCAATGGACTCACTAATGGCTAGACGTGAAGCTGAATGGCGGCGTGAAAG